ATGGTGCCACTGCTAGCCTTCCATTTACAGGCAATTGGGGAAAATTTCTTTTACATTCACCATTCCTGGTCAAACTCTCACTGGCCCCTCACTCCATAAATAACATGAGATTTCAGGGCCAACTACATCATTTGCTAGAAATTATATTTAGGAGATATACAGTCCTGTTTGCCATATGAAATAATTTAATGGCTATGAACCAGAGCTAGACTGAGAACTATTCTCTGTCACTTGCAAACAGCTGCTTGAAAACTGGTCTCCTCAACAAAGCTCTCTCCACAACTCACTTTCCTGCTCCTGATCTGGTAAAAATAATTACACTTGAACTTTGGTACCATTTTCCACTTCAGTCATGTAAATTGTGCAGGTTGTTCAATGGGTGTTGAATGTCTGTAAGCCAGAGGGTGTTCTCAAAAGATAAGACTATTGCACTAGCAGTAGCATATCCTAGAGGGTCTTTATGCTGCAGTTAGTTATGTTCTGTGGCACCCACATCCCTAAACTAAAACCCATAAGGCAGTAAGGCAAAAGTAGCAAAATCACCCCCAAAACCCACCCCAGTATTTCAGCAAGTCATATCTTCCCCAATTATTTTAGTTTTCCCCCATGGAACTCCAGAGTGCACAGCATTAACAGAATCAAAAGATTTTTTGCCTGAAACACTGAACTAGATTTTTTGCCTTTCTTTACCATTGAATGACAAAAGCTTTGTTTTTGTCTGAGAAAAGTTGTTGGAGATGCAGCTCAACAGACTTGCAAAGGAACAAGAAGAAGACTTAGGGACAGGAGGACATTAACGTAGATTTGTAATTTATTAAAAAAAATCAGTAGCCTCTCACTGATGACATTTTCTTATTTTTTTTTTTGCGGAGTACTAATTCAGCTCACCTCTATTACAGGTTTGGGTTTCTTTTCATATTTACTTCAAATATCAGCTGATTTCAAGACCTTATAGGAAAGAGCAGTGGAGCTGATTTAGGTCCTGCTGCTATATTCTAAGGAGCAGAGCCCTAAATCAAGCTGTTTTCATTTGTACTTCTGTTTTTAACTGTGCTTTTTCCCTTGTCTTTAATCTTTCCTATGTAATTTCAGAGTCTTGCTTTCCGAAAGAAATTGAGAACAGAGCTGATTGTGATGGCAATAGGTACTGGATAGAAACAAAGGAAAAAAAGGACTCAAATTGTTTAGTTTATGAGATCAGATAATAAATACAGATAAATTTTCAATCACTCTAGGATAGTTTGAGATTCTATCTCTTTTCTTTGATGTTGGCTATCTGCTGTTTTTCTAGATTAGGAGTCATATTGTTTCCATGGAGAAATCCAAAAAACACTGAGAATCAAAGACGAGGGAAAACATTTTCTAGACAATATATTTCATTATATTCACATCACATTTGATTACTTGCAGGGGGGAGGAAGAATGGAGAAAGGAGAAGCACTAACAGTTTCTTAACATTTTTCTTCCTCATCAATTATAGTCTTTAGGGATCAAGGCAAAGATTATAATATTAACTTGGTGAAATCATGTAAATTAGCAAAAATGTACCGTAAAAATTTAGCTTGGGAAAGAAAAAACACTTTTTTTCTTGGCAGTATCTTCCCATGTTGTGAATAACTTTCATGGACTGACACACTGAAAATGCTAATTAGAGATGTTTATCCATTTTCTGTAGCTTTGTAATGGGCATTATAATTCAAAATTTCTACAGAAATTACATTAAAAATGCACTGCCAATTTTTACAGTACTGCTGATCTTTTGGATGTGGGATCAATGGGACTATGTGAGCTTTACACACATCTATATACACATCTACATATACACATCTCTATACATGTAAACATATATGCGTATGTAAACATATATGTTTGTACACATCTACACATCTGCATATATGTGTTTAAAAATCCACGTGTACAATATGTAAGATTGGTGAGAAGAGGACAATACTAAGTTATTCCATACAATTTTCAAAGGCACACATATAATTTAGAAATATAAGTATTAACTTATGGCAGAAAAAATCCCTAAGTCATCTTTAAAAACATCAGCTTTTGAAAACTGACCCATAAGCTGCCAGGACATGAGCCAATTGATCAGAGGCAAGAACAACCTTGTGATATAGATAAGTTCTTTGGGTGGGAACTGTTTCTAGAACTATTAGCTACTAGGAACTATTGAGCATCTCATTTTATATACAGAAGTAATGTGTATAGGTCTAGAATTGAAGTTTCTCCATTGATACATGGTGGTACCCAACATCTCTACCTCCTTCATGAACCACCTGCCCTCTAAGGCTCCAAGCACTGGAAGGGTTTTCTGTGTGGGCAGTACTGATCTGGGCTGGTAAAGCCATGAGTGGGGATGAGAAGATTTTATTTCCTTTCCCAGACCTGACGCTGCCCTGTTGGGTAACTCTAAATTAATAATTTTCCTACCACAATTCTAGTGCCTCAATCAATAAGTAGTGTATCTTCTAATGATATGATCATTTTTAGACTGACAATGCAAAGTGTGTTGGGGTTAAATGTGATTATTTATTAGTCTGACTGAAACCAATTGATTTTACAGGAAGCATTTCACATCTGACTGGATTAGACCATAGCTGCCTATACAATTTTACCTTCATATAAGCCTCTTCTAATATAGTCTAATTACGAATAAGCCTTGCACACACTTTCCCTTCTTTTATGTTAAATATTTAACACAGAAAGTCTGAATTACCAGAAGTATTCTTCTCATTGTCACTTTTATTAACTAATAATTTGTATAGTTATTTTGTGGATAACAGAAAATAAGAATAATAGGATATATGAGTAGCAGCTTGAAAAACACTTACAAAAACCTGAAGTATTAAATTACACACAGACTGTTCCAACACAGTTTCCTAACAAGTGAACAGTCTTGGGATTAAGGCAAAGAATATTGCTGCTCACCTTTTAAGTGAGAATGCTCATTCCCATTTCACCATGAGCCTAACCTTTATTTAACCAATGAGTTATCCAGCAGGGACCCGCTTAGGTCCTACTGTGCACCGTCAGACTCAGCAAGATTCCTTGAAAATTAGCCAATAAGAGAGAAGGAATTGCGCTCACTTTTAATGCTACAAAGGACATCACTATTCATAGTCCAGTAACTTTATGGCAAGCATAAACCTCTTGGAGGAAGAAAGAGTAACATATCTGAACATTATTTTCATTGGAATAATTTCAATTCCAACAAGACTAAAAAATAAAAGCCTATGAGATTTTAAAAATGACTACATTTGGGAAAAAAAGCAGAGAATATATATGACTGAAATGACTGTCTTGAAAGAATGACACAGAAGCAGGCACAGAGTAACCCTGAAAGAGCCTTTCAGGAGTTAACCAAGGTCAGCTAGTTATCTTAACAATGATTTGCATATAGTGGCACGTTTTATTGTCCAGAGTTGTAGAGTCTGATATCTCTCCAACCCTCCAAACTACTGTTATCTTCCTTTTACAAGTGAGTAAATGGAGATACAGATCTGAGAAAACACCATTGTCTAAATTGCCTGAGTGCACTGAGAGCTGCTCCACCTAATTTCCAGAACTACTGAGAGCCCCTGTCTCTGCCTGAACTAAAGTGGAGATGTGTGGACGGTGCAGCTGCCAAAATGCAAGGTTTATCTCTGCTCCTGCTGAGCTGCTATAAGAGATCCCAGTCTCCTGATCCCAACTCCTTCCGCAGCCCACCATTACAGAGTTCCCCCCTTCCAGAACTTCACAATTGTAGATTGCTTATGGTTGTATTTCATCAATAATAGTCAATTGACTCATATTTCTAAGGTCATTTTACACTACTCTGGAAGCACTAAAGGTGATTTAAATGGATACTGTATTTTCATTCACTTTAGGGCTATTTTCAATTGCCTGAGCAGCATCAAGAGACCCGAGTGTAAGTGAGCAGCAGATTCCAAGGTTTCGCCTCAGCAGGGACTAACCTCTGCCACCCTGGAGCTGAGCACTGGAATATTTATATACCTGCAAATCATAAACGCTTGTCTTGGAGAGCAAATCAGAGATGGAAATCTGGGATTGGACAGGAGAGAAGAGAGAGAATAAACCCCCTTTCCCCCCATATATTTTCATTTGATGGTACTTGAAAGCTTGGCTATTTTAGAATTTGCAAGGCTTCAGAGTGGCCTGGGTCATTCGGTCAAATGCACATATTCAACCACATAGCATTAACTTTCTATTGTTCTGCCACAGGCTAGTGACTCACCAATATGCTTAATCATCACTTCCAGTGCTTCAGTGCCTGAATAACTCTTGAATAATTCAAACAACCCCATTTGTCTCGGATGATGTTTGTCTGGAGTGAGGGAGCGAGTTTTCTGAAAACACTGTAAGGACTCAAGAGCCAGAGTCTTACTGAGAAGATGTAGGGCATATGGTCCTAAAGTCTTTACATGTTTTCAAAAAGACCCCACACCATGTACCTTTTAATAGAAAATGGATTTACACCTTATGTTCTGGTCAGCAAACCTAGAAAACTTCAACATTTTCTGGCTTTAACATTCAGACAAGCTGGCTATATTCTGTTGAAACAACTCAGTGAAGAGCAATATTTGCGCCAAGACAAAATGCAAAAGATAAAGAGATAATACATTTCTGCATGAAGTGTTCTTGCACATTCATGGTATTTCTCATTTCTTTATCTTAGAGGCCTAATGGATATCAGCGTGGAATAAATAGCAAGGAATTGCTATTGTACAGTCTTGCCAAATGAAAGTCAAAGCACATTTTAAGCCCCAACAACATGATTATTCAAAGACTGAATAGGCAAGTGTAGCAGCGAATGCCAAATAAAGGGACATAAACAAGAATGATGGCCATTTGCATGAACTGAATACTATGAAGTTGATGAAGTTGCAGACACAGAAATGAACTTAAATCAGTGCAGAATTCTATACTATTCTCACAAAAAAACTTAACACAGTTACACTGGTCTCCCTTTGGTAGCAAATCAAGAATACTTACCATTCTTGGAGAGAATCACAGCCAAATATTCATGAAAGTAGGTGTTGATGTACAGCAGAAGGCTTGGAGTATGCGCTGTGAGAAAGCTAAACGCAATATTTTCCTTGGACATGACAGCATCCGCATAAATGGCAGAGTTTGAAGTGCTTGCATTTTTTGTGACAGGATAAGATTCTTGGAAAATATAGGTAATGGAAGTGCCGGCTTCAAATAATGCAGAAACCTCTGAAAGCATATATAAATCAAGGGAATAATTTCAGCTACTGCATTTTTAGATCTTCCAGACAGGCATGGACATGAGCTGACTGCCTCAGAAGCAGAACACTGCAAAATGTCCTTGACCTAGCTGAGATCACCATTCCTTAATTTGGACGAGCAGTGTGTTCTTCCTTGCAGTCTATTTTTCTGGCACAAAATAGGTTGCTTTATGGAGACAGGCCCCTAAATTCAACTACTTTAGTGCTGGAATCAGAGCTCCACAAATGGAACAGGCCAAAATGTCTGTCAGCCAAATAAGTGCTCCATTCACCACCTTCTGACAGCTGACATGTAAGGCAATATTCTCTGTCTTCCCCCCACAGTAAAGACAATATATTTGTCCTTCCCAATCTTCTTTTTAAACAAAGTCATTATTAAAGCAATACATTAATCCAAAGACAGTCAGTAAGAGAAGTTGTCTTTGGTAGCTCCAAAAGAAGAGAAACATCTACCTGTGCATGCTCAGATCCCAAGAACTCACACTTGTGCTTTCAATAAACACAATGTAGTCTGGCCATGAAATACACAAATGTGGTAAGACTAGCTTTATTTTATTGTGAGGTACAGTAAAGTCAGGATGGTGATACCGTCAGCTAGACCCTGACTGCAAGTACTTTCTCCATCAAAGCAGCATCTCTTAACAGGATGCTGTGTGGCTATTTGATAGGCCTCTCGTGGCATCGATGCCAAATCCTCAGCTCATGTAAGTGGGCATAGTACCGTGGACTGCAGTACAACTAAGCCGATTTACACCAGCAGATGATGCGGCCCACTTAGTAAACTTGTGTTTGTGAGGTGAGGGGCAACCATGAAAATTAAAATGCTCACATTGCACTTTGCTGTTATTGAGCAGGAGTTTTGCTAGTTCATTCCTCTTCCAAAGAGCATGCTATCTAAACTGGATGTTCTTTATTTGCCCTGCTCCTTTTTCTGGTGTTGGCTTCATCTCCTATGAGCAACCAGAAAGGTTCAGTGAGGACACATTCACCAGAGACTGAACCATGCAAATCAGTTTTCCCCTGAATGCTTCACGCTTATTTTTAAAATCTCTTAACGTTTGGATGGGTTGTCACAGAAATGTCAAAAAACCATAAAAAGACTACCTCTTTTTGTCACCCCATTGCTCCAAAACTCTGTAAAGGAAAGCTCTCAAAATTTTGTTAAGGTGGACAAAGCTGGATGGGATTTAAAAAACAGCAAACTAAACATTCAGACATGGGCAGACAGCTGGTATGAAAAAATTTCAGCCCTGCTTGTTAATGTCTGGTCCAAGTTATACACAATCAAATACAGGAATCATAGTGGGATACAGGTGGTAACTTAATGGTACAACTAACACCATTTTACTTTCTGAGGCTATCACTTAAGTGAACAGAAGGAGATGTTACAGTCTGCTTAAGATAAACACTTAGTAATGCTGAAGGAACAACTGATATTAGAAAGTCTTATAACATGGGGGACACCAAGCTGACATGGGTGAAAGTGTGCTATAATTCAGAGACCACTAAGGATTTAGGATTAAAGCTCACTGCCTACCTTTCTTGCAGAAAGGTCCTTCATAGGCTGAGTTGGTACAATCACAGAAGTAACCATTATACCTCTCCACACATTTTCCTCCATTGTGGCACAGGTTACCATAACTGCTGCAATGTCCTGGACATCCAGGTTTAACACCAGGTGTCATTTTAGCTCTCTCTTCAAGGTCAAGTTTCTGTCCATTTAAATGCAGAGATCGAATGCATCCCAAAAAGCCCTTTTGTCTGGAAGCTGTTCCCCCTGAAAAGGAGAGAATAAAGGATATGCATTCATTGGTGAGTCTGCACAGTAATCAAAGCCCTGAAGTTCAATCCAGAGGTACAAATATGAATCTATGAATTTTAAAAAATATTATCTATTATATATCAATGCATACAGTGGCAAAAAATGACAGATGGACAGCCCTGGAAACTAAGAGTCTCTATTTATCTTTGTGAAAGGACTAAAATGCAGTATGTGACACTTTCTTGTTGCCATTCTTTTGTTTTCTGCCTTATCTACTGCCCTGTCTGGCATTTAAACTGCAAATTCATTTGGGAAAAAACATTTGCTTCTTTATTGTATGTCTGCGTATCACTTAATGCATGAGAAACCCAAACCTAAAATGGCTGTTTTTTTCTATTTGTTGCCATAGTACAGAGTATAAATAACACCCAAATCCCAACAGCAGGTGAGTTACACATGCTGATGTGTCCAGATAGCAGGGATGAATCATGTTCAGCACCAGGCCTGCTGGCTGAGGGGAAATGACTTGAGTCAGAATTTATGCATGACTGCCCAACCTGATGTCACATGTGAATGGTTGTTGTAGACAAGAAACATGAGTTCAGGTCACAGTTGTGTTATTTATTGTTAAATAAATTGTTAAACATAATTGTATTTCTTCCTGAAGACCAGAGCTCTGTGGATCTACACAGAGTGCAGTTCAGTCTCTACAACCTATCTAGCTTCTTATCTACCCAATGAAATTGCCTACAGTGTTATAATGAAGACACTTTTTTCTGCAAGATACAGTCTCTGAGAATGATAGTAATGAGGATTGTTAGAGTACTTTGTGAAAATATCAACATTTCTCTTATTGTAGGATTTGTTTGGCAGTTGCCAATGTTCTGCTTTTGAAGATACCGCAATTTGGATTGCTACTAAGAAATCTAATTCTCATTCAGGAGTTACCAGCATTTATAGGCTCTGAAATGTTAGCTTTATTGGTGATTCTCATGCAAAATTAGTATGAAAGAAGTTATCTTTCCAAATTATTCTTCTGTAGAAGTTGATTCTATATCAAAGTGCATGAGATAAGAGATTACATCTTTTGATAAGTCCTTGCAGAAGAGCATCTGTTTTTTCATTAATTGTTTAATTAAAGCAAGTCTTCTGCAAACTAAGAGAATGAAGCAATAGTCTGAAAAACAATCTCACCAAAACTGCTTTGTTTTGCTATACCATTCTAGCGTATTTTTCTGTCTGGTAAACTAATAGCAGAAATACTGAATTTGAATTAGAATAATTGAACCGTGGAATAGTATGTAGGAGACAGGTTTATTTCATGCTAATTTTATGATGCCTTTCTCAGAGAACAAATATTTTCAGATTCCTCTTTAGTCAGCTACTCTTCTCAGGTGAGCAAATGTTAGCTCACTTATTTTAAAGGCCCTCCGAGCACAAGGATTGGATCTTCTGCATTTGCTGCAGTGTGTACACATGATCCTTCTCTTCGGAGATTTTGCTTCAAAACAAAGCATACCATACATAATTTTCAGTAATGTCTAAATAAGTGCGAATGTGATTTCTCCCTTTAAGGCTACTGGTTACTGTTTTCTTTTGCATGGAAGGTAACCACAAACATTAAAAGGATAAATGAGTTTCCTTGCCTCGTCTCTCTGCACACATAGAAATCCCAGCTGTAACATTTATTGCTAACCATTCCACAGATGTCATGTTTACTGCACTACCCATATTCTTACTGCTCTCTAAAGCACTTTGGAAAGCCATGTAAAGTAAGTTTCTCACTCTTCTGCCTGGAGAGTACAGAGCTTAGCAGAAACCATCTATATGATCCTAGATCCACACAGTATTGATTAAGCAAATCTGTTTATTATTTGGGCAGTTCTCTTCAATTGACTAGACCTAATCTTCAAATATATTCCTAGGAAGCAGAGAAGAATTGGAAACAAACAAATGAAACTCTTCCCTGAATAAGGCTTTGCAGATTCTTCCTACTCAAATAGGCCTGTAGGACTGGACAATTTCATGGATGCAACCTAAATGTTTTGTTCAGAAAAACAGATTTTAGGATAAGCCTCAGGACCAAAACCACCAAGGTCAATGGTGTTCTTTGCCGAGTGGAGGTGACAGTCAAATGAGCCGTGTTGCTTTCAGCGACGTTGCTATGCAGTTGAAATTTACTGAGAAGCCTTAGGGCAAGGAAGAGAGAGTCGGAGAGGAGGGGGCAAGCAGTTTACAACTGAGCATTCATAGTGTAGTGTGGTGACACAATTGTCTAAATTATTAACATTCTATCTATGAATTGAGGATTTGCTTTAAAAAGCAAAGGACTTTTTGTTGGTAAGAACTGGATTAGGGAGGCTGAAGCTAGGTGAGTAAGTATTAGGAGTTTTCTTGTTTTATTTAACTACACAAAGAAAAGGAAAGAATGGGAGTATAAGTTTCATAATTATTATTACTCAGGAGTAGGAGAAATTGCTGTGATATTCCTCAGAAGACATCCAAGTCACACCTGTTAGTCTCAAACTGAAAGTTGTACAAAGCATCAGAATACACAAGGGGTTAAGCATTATTTCAGATTAAACACAACAGCTAATAATACAAACATTATTTAATCTACACTTTTGTCTCTTAATAACTATACATAACTGCTTCTCCATAGCAGAGAGTAGCCATAATTGAATACAGTCAGGTATTTATAGGAAGTGATGGAAGAAAACAAGAATTGCAAATTTGAATTCTGTCACATTATGTTGCTATGGATGAAGAGACAAAAGGTGAGAGATTAGATCTGAACACCTGCATATTGTCTCCCCTTCTCTGGTTTTACCACCAGGCAGATCCAATAAGAAGGAAGCCATTTTCTATGTTTTACTTTGAATGGCATGTATAAGAAATCATCACTGCAGTGTAATGTAGGTCATGTCAGGCAATGACCATTTCTTGCACATGCTGCGTGGCTCACTGGCCAGAGCAAATGCTCTTGGGAACATCCCCCAAAGACAGACATGCAGGGCAGACATCATGTCAGCAAGATGCAAGAACAGCCAAGACCACTGAATCAAACACAAAACAGGGCAATGAAAGTTGGCAGGACAGAAGTGAATGGAGAACAGGTGGTATGGAAATAAATGACACCCAAATTCCAGCATTTCTGTGAATACAATGAATAGTATGAGCATACAGGAAGAAGGATCTGATTCTCAGCTCTATCAATTCATTTTATACAAGACTGATGTATAAGACACTTTGGGGTAAACAGAAATCACTGCTTGAAAGTGCATCTTTCCAGGATATGTAAAACTGACGTGAACTTCTCTATCTGCAATGTTGTACCAGCTCCAAAATGGAAGAATTAGTTGGTACATTAGTGTGCAGATAATGAATTATGGCTACGTTATGCTTATCAAGGTCAGAAGTGAGTGAAGAAGCTTTCTAGCAGATAGTTCTGTTAATCCAAATAATGTAATGTGAGTTCAAGCCCAGTGAGATGTACCTAACATTCAGAGATACTCCACAGAAATGCGGCTTTAGAACATTAAACATACCCATGATTATACCTAAGTACAGAGAGCAAGCTGAAAATTGATTTTTACCAGAGCAATGACACAAACAGGCTGAAGTTCAAAAACATACACAACTCAAAATTAGCATAGGGACAATGTAAGCCATGGTGAGACTCCCAGGTTCTGCTGGAGTCTCTGAATATCTGGATTTCTCTGCTGGAATAAGCAACCATGACATCCAAACATTGAACTCACTGTCATCATATATCAGTTAGTATACCTCTGAGACAACTCAAGTTCACAGTCTTCACAGTCTTCAGGACACAGCCTTGCATTAGTTCACAATCAGTGTTTTTCCCATCTGAAAGGACTAGAAATCTGTTGTGATTTTTATTTTAACCTTTTTTTTATGTTAATTTTTTTTAACCTTGCAAGAGAAGTGAAGGACAGCAGAAAGGGCTTCTTCAAATACATTTCAGACAGAACTAATGCTAAAGGCAAGGTAGACCCACTGCTGAATGAGGTGGGTACCCTGCTGACAGAGGACACTAAGAAGGCGGAGTTACT